CTCTACAATCTTCTCCACAGCTGTGATCGTCTCTTGTACCTGCATTTCACCAACTTTATGTTCATTCGTACACTAGTCCAAAGAACGCATATTCGTATTCTCAAAGCTCTTCTATTCCTTCAGAAAGTTGCACGAGTCTCACACTCTGTATCCGGTTTCTCTTCTGTTTTGCCATCGGTGCTCGCATGCATCCCACAACTCCTTCCTTTCCCCATTCTACCCCTTTCTCTAGACGCTTCCTTTCTCCGTGTACTGTTTCTCGTCTTCAATCTAGTAGGTTGTCTGGAACAATATGACCTTTACAACTCGAAATCCGGAGTGAATTCAACAGCGATACAATAACCGAGAAGTTGAATTGTGTACATAAATGGTGTATGTGAGTATGCTATGTAGATAGACAGATGGGTATATAAGGAGTATAAATAAGCTAATAGAAAATTTGCTAAATTCTCAAACAAAGTTAATACTGCAAGCTTACTAATTATCTATCACAGAGCAAAACAACTTATGTACAGATTTAATTGAGTGCCATTTAACAAGGTCTCTTCTCCTCTTTTGCATTATATTTATGTGTATTCTCCATGCCATCCATATTATAAGTTCAACGACTATGAAATATCCAAAACTCGCTCTCTCACGTTCAATTCACCTTTCAAAGCATACTACCAACACACCCTCAAACTATACCAACATTGCTCAACTGAATCCTCTCATCGTTTCTACATAAATCACCAGAAATCCGTGTTCTCGTTTAAACGTGAAAATTTTCTCGCGTTTCGAGTTGCGGCGATTCAACTGAGATCCGCCAACGGCAAGAGAAGTCGGCAACTAAATCCCCTCGGCCTGCCCTGAAATGCTTGAGATAATTTACGATGGATCCAAGTGAGATAGAGAAGAAAATACATATGAAGCAGGAGAGAAGAAGTAGTGAGCAAAAGAGAGATTGTGAAACAGTAACAGTCTGCTTCCGCCGTGAAATATAATTCCCTGCACATTCACGGTTGGATAATCCTCGTTCGCTTTACATGAAAACTTATTACGTCTCCACAGTAGCACCCGGTCTCTACCAAGCCATTGTTATACGCCCGCGCGTTCTACTTTAGCATGTAGCCATGACAAGAGCAATTACATTTTTAAATTACGTTACACGATATTAAGCCTTTTCTTTCTTTTCTTCCCAAGCTCTGCCTTTACTTCTAACAACCCCCACCTTTCACTCACCTGCTTCTCTTTCCAAGCTTGTCCACTATGTCCACTCTACGTTAGACTGACATTTTTATCTATTTTTTCTTTTTATTTTCATATTTGTATTTTTCTTACTTGTTTTACACTGTCTCTCCCAACGTATGTCAATTTTCTGCTTTTCCTCATCAACAAAAACAGATCTTTTAGATCTCTTTGACACTCCTAAATAATTCATTTCGTTTCGTTAATTCAAACGAGTTAAAGCAAAGTTTAAATTTATTTCAAGCTAAATATCATGAGCTCGTTTGTATAAACAAAATGTCATTTCAAATGGATCTCAACTCATTAAATTTACGCATGAATCATAACAAAAACATTTAATTTATATATCTGTAGATAAGGGGTAAGAAATGAGAGTCATTCATTATTATACATTTTAACTCTCTGGTAATAAATTACTAAGAATTCGTTTGTTTGTAAGAGTATTTCTCGACCTATTCAATTTGTGGGAGTTTTACGCGAGAAGCTCCAGTCCGACATCCCAGACAAATGATTTGACGGCGTTGTGGCTTTTGCGCTTGTAGACGTTGGATAGAGGCAGCTAGGATATAAAACAGTTGTTTGAGTATTGAACGTGAGCAAAAGAGGAGTAGCACACGTAAATGGTGAAAGATGAGGAGAGAAAATATCACGAGACAAGAAAATGGGATGCGAATTTTAAAGAAAAGTAAAAGACAAAAAAGATGCAAACGTCGAGACATACAGACTTTACGCCGGTAAAGCATTGTGTTGCGACAAAGTCGTCGTTGTCGTTGATCAAGAAAAAAACTCTTCTTATTTTACAAGTCAAAAATTTAAACTTGTTCATCATAGTTTAAATTATTTTATTTGACTATTACTTCCCATTATTATTGTGATAATTCTATTAATGAATCATCTAAAATAACTTTGATCATTTTTATTAGCTAGAAAAGGTTTAATTTAAATCTCTTATTACGAAATCGAAAAAAAATAACGATGAAAAAAGACTGATTATAAAAGTAAATATATTTATTTTTAAGTGAGAGATTCAATCAGAAACTTTGGGATATTCTTCACAGCCGATTGTCCAAGAAAAATAGCGACAAGAGAGATTTATTCCCAGATGTTGGACGCTACTTGGATAAAGAAAGAAGAAAACATCAATCGCCAGCAAAACGACTCTCGAATTTTCGAAAGAGACGTAATCTCACAGGCGACGTCTGGAAGAAATCAAGTTGAACGAAGCGTCAAAAGTTTGCCACGAGAAGCAATCGGATCAGAGAATGCACGATAGAATGAGGAAAGAGCCTACGGGGTAAAACGACAACGAAGACGATCGAGTAGAGTTGTAGGGTTGGGAGTATAAGAGAACGACCCTTTGTAATTGTGCGAGGGTTGGCACGCCCCACAATGAATAGAATTGAAGAGCAACAAGAGACATAAAAAAAGATTCAACGATCTGAGAAAAAGAAAAGAAAACTTTTGATGTAGCCTGAAATGAACGCTACAAAGTATTTACAAGCTTGTCATCTTTGTTTCCCTACTTTAATTTCTCTCTCCTTAGTTATTTGTATAATCTTGAAGAAAGGAAAAAAACGTTTTTCTCAAGCTTAATAAGAAAATTTCTTTCTCAAAAGGAAATAAATTATTATATTAAAAGACTCATCACAGCCAACCGAGCAATAACATTATTTTCTTGATGAGGAAAAAAATGGCAATTAAAAAAAATTAATTATATCACTAATTGTTTTATTTTCTACTTATAAACATTTAGCAGAATAAAAGTAATTAAATAAATGAATGATAACAATATACAATCGTATCGCTATGTAGATAGTGATACCGTAAATATATTTAATTATGGAGACTGAGTATAATAATTTAGTAAATGAATTTAGGTAGCCTAACGAAGTTGAATCTCCATTAAAATACAGTATCTCCATCATCAATCGATGTGATAATTATTTTGAAAATAATAATGTGCACCTGACCAAGCAACGATTGTGCCAATTCGTCTTCCATGCAGATGTTGCGGTTTTATTCACAGGGAAGATCAGACGGGGATAGTTACGGTGGGTGATCGATGCCGTTTGGTACCAGTTCTGAAAGACGAAAAAGAGCCCACGGCGTGGGATGTCGTGTATACTCAACGAATGAATGATAGAGCTATAAGATTAACATAATAAACTTGTATAACCCGTGTACTTGAGGTGGAGGAAAGATTGTTGATCGCGTGTACAAACACACAAGTGGGTTTGCCTCACGGGACGATTCAATCGGATTCTCTTTAAAATTTCATTCTTCCTTTCACAGTTGTTCTTTATTTTTAAACGCCACCCTTATCCGTTCCTCGCTCTTTCCCTGCCCTCGACTTTCCCGGTCTGTCGAGCATCTCGTTTTCATTGTTCGTAACAGGGAGTTGAGAGAAAACGCGAATGGAGTACTAGCAACTTTGCAATGCAGATTTGGCAAGATTTAATCGGTAGAGATGGTAAAACGAGGGTGACAAGCATCGAGGTACACTGAAATACACCAAGAGATGCTACTCGTTTTACGAGCCAAGGCATTTGTAACTCACCACACACGGCCTCATGGAATTTGTCCACGAAAACGTGACCATTTGTATTTACGAGTACTGGTAAAATGAGATACACAATTGCTGTATCTCCAACACACAACTACAGTCAACTGTTGAAGCTTAAACTATTATAATATGATGGCCGAGGTCGTTAAAAATGATGCTTATGTTGCGAAAATTATTCAACTTTTACGACCTTTTAATTGTTACTCTCTGACCGCAAACATTTGCTGATTTTACATTTTATTATTTTTAACGAGTAATTTTAGTTACGCGTGATAATAAATCACTCGAAGAAACGACGACGAATAACAAAAGTGGACAAGTGGGATAGAGAGCAGGTGCATAGAGACAATTATACGCTCTCGTCGTGCATAAATGAAATTCCTTTTTTTCCCGTTTTCATTTTACTTGTGCTCCACATCTTTCTTTATTCTCTACTCCTCCTCTTTTTATTTTCCATTTTCGTTTAAAAACAATTTAGTGATTCAAGACTGAATGACGACCCTCCTGTAAAATTTTCAAGATACTTCACGTTCCCATTCAACATTCATGCAATTCTCAATTCCCAAAGCGAATTCCCCGTATCTCCAGTCAACTTTCTCCAATTGAATGTAATTTACTCAATTTTGCCGAGTGAAAGAAACGTTAATCACTAGCTCTTTCCAAATGAATACCTAACCATAGATTCATACATACATTTACACATTCGCATAAGATATTTATTACTACCAGCAGCACACATTTAGGACATTCTATTTTATCCACAGGTATACTTTGGGATTTCTCTATTTACTAGTGGATTTCTCTGATTACATTTACGAGCTCTAAACTTGATACCTCAGCTGATTTGTCTGGATTTGTCAATTGATGCATGGAAAACCGCTCTCGCTTGGTCAGCCTCTCTGTGGCTTCACGCTGGAAATCGATTATTATCTAGCGAACTAACACGTCAAATTCTGTATGTGCTCAATAACCAATGTGTGTGCATTTCAATTGTGTTAAAATATGAATCAGATATTGCCGGCATCGTAAAACGTGTCAAGCTTATCACAACATGACAGTAATTGTACAGAGTCTTTATTATTCAAGTGCCTTATTGTAGCCTGGTATATGAATCATGACATGGTCAATTCTTTGGCGTCTATACAACTGATGTTTACTGTCATGAGTTATGATATTTAAAAAATGACATAACAAATATATGACTACTAACCTTGGGATCGAAACTGAAGACTTGTTCAGGCCTAAGCGGGCACTCTAGTCCACACTTGCAAGTGCCCGCGGTTGTCAGGTACTCCTTGAGCTGATCGAGCGACCTCAGCGCCGTGCTGCTTGGACTGAAACAGACAAAGGAAGGTATTCCATTGTAGTAAAGTAGTGCGGTAGTTGGTGAGCACTTAATTCGACAGGGAATTGTTTGGATGTCGAGTTGAGTCTGGAGGATTCAGAGTAGAGTTTATTAACCAAAGATATCGTGGTCTTGTCCCGTTTCTCTTCAGCAATAAGAGAGAACAAGAGTAAGGGAAAGAGCTAGGGTCCGGGTTCATTTGCGGGAGGACTCGCTCGAGCTGCGGTAGAAGCTAAAACTCGAGCGAGGGATGAAGAGATTGAGTTTGTAGCTTGTATATTGATTACCCGTGAGGGATGCCGTCGTTGAGACCAAGAGACTTTGTTTCGAGGTACTTTGCAGTTGGCTCCTAAACTAATAACCCCAGGCGCTTTATCTTCAACATTATATATCTCTTGTTACTCTCCCCTCCTCTTTACCTGACAACCCTTTACAAACCGAAGACTCGGCGAGCCTTTACCTGATAGGGTTTGCTGTAGCCAACGTTAATTATCGACAAATGTGATGATAAACCATCAAATTCGCCCGCTACTTCTCTTTATTATACTCTCATTTTTCAAATTATTTTATTTGTTCACTCAACTGCAGTCACTAGAGCCAATTATCTAAAAACTCGACTGCATCAATTTCACCTATTATATGGTCTTGCCTCTTTTAAGAATTAAGCGACAAAAATAATCCCAAAAAATATCGAGCCAATTATTGGGCATCCTCGCTATAGCGAATAAACCTTCATGTTTTTCTTCTATTCTTTGACAATTTATTTTGTACTATTTGGTAATGACACATGATCTCTCATCTATTTGAAACACATTTTATTCCGTTTTTCGACTGCTAGCTAGTGGAAGAGAAAAATTGCCTAGGCAACTTGTAATTCCCATCTCTGGATTTTTTATTTTGCGTTTTAAAAAAAATGAACAAGTCCAATAGTCCATTTTTGCTCGCCTCTCGCGACCAGTGCATTTTACTCTGACGAACGATTCGTTGGAGGGTGAGTACGGAGTAAAGGGGTATGAGAAGCGATGTCGATTCGCCCCATTTCCGCCGCACCGGCAACGCTCGCTTTTCCGAATCCACACATAAAGCTGTGATTCCATAAATAACGCGCTGCCTGAGCTCTCTAGCTTACAGAATAACAGAGACAAAATTACAAAGAGAATAGAGTACTATAAGTTGAAAGAGAAAGAGAGTTGATTAGTACGATGAATTATATTTAGGGAGGGCGTTTCTAAGCTGCTTGTCTCCGTAAAGTACCCGTGTACCTAACACAAATGATGTTGGACACTAACCCTTTTGGCTCTACTAGAGACTTCTCAAACACCGTCAAAAGCTTCTTCCTAAAATCTCTCTTCAATCTCCTACAACTACTACTCTTACTCAGACTATTCTACACCTCACCTTCGTCTCTCTAACTTGTCTCTTTACTTCCGCGGAATTATGTAATCATCCTTATCCCAGACTACTTCGGGTCGTCTCCTCTGTCTAAGAGTTATTCTTCTTCGCCTTGACTGTACCGCCTCTTAGATTTTCACTCTGACTGGCCTTCATTAATCCTAAAGGGTGCTACTAGTTGACAATTAAATTATGAACCTCAAAGAGACCATTCTCACTAAATTTCAATCAATTCATTTATCCAAATAAAAACAAATTCCTTTTTAAGGTGGAAATATTTTTTTCAAAATAAGCTGAAATAATGATAAAGTTGAGTTTTAGCATGGAGTACTTAATGCATTATTGGTTTGAAAGATTGATTTAATTTACTATCAGTAACACTTTAAGCGAAACTTGTTTTTCATGTATATATCTAGTGTTCAGTACTTTCTAATCCTTACCTATCGATAATAGTCTAGAATTATCTCATGTGCTGACAGATTTAATATCTGTTGAACATCGCATACTATTGGGTGTTCGGCTAGAGGAATATAAATGCTAAGTTTCCCTGATACTGTATTGATCGATGGACACGTTCGATAATGTCAGTGGGAACTCATGGGATAAAAGGTAAAATATAATTGACAGTGACACTTTATCTCACCAATTTAGCACTAAAGCTGACTTTGTAATTGCTAAATTACTTTTACGTCTATTCTGCAATAAATCCCAGATAAAAAAGATTTAAAAATTCACTTTAGGATTTTTTTTTATTCAATTAAATTATCATTTTAAAATGAAATCGTTATTTTGTAGAAAAAGTATTTTTTTCTTGCTACAAATAACTAGTGATTTAGTCCCGAGGCTTGAAATACCAATATTGAAGCTCTATACTTATCTGTTGTTCATAGTTATTTCAATATTACTATTTTATATTCCTCGAATTGCACATGATTTGTTATCTTTAGCAAATTACATATAATAAAAATATTTCTCCATCTTGTAAAAAAAATGAGAGACATAAAAGTAAAAAGATAATGCTAGAGTATTTAAACGTAGTTGGTCAACATGAAACAGTGTAATTGGAATTTTTTCATGACATGTGTCAATTAAAATAAATTTACCTGAGTTCCAATTTGCATTTTTTCATTATGACAACATGTAATCGCGTAAATGCGTAAAATTGAAACTGCATATTGAATAACAACACAATAGTTACAAGTATACGTTTGGGGTTTGCGTCATCACAAGCAGGGCCACAGGGAAATCGCGTTGTTAAATTATCCAAATCGCAATGAGACCGAGGTTGCATCACACAACACCAACAGAGACATTATACGGATCTAAAATAGCTATTGAAACTGTGCCATATAACTTACACCTATGAGTACATTCCGATCAATATAACTATTTGTGATAATTACCAATCAAAGATGAATTTATGACAGCAATTATTACTGTGATTGTATGTACAGAGAAAAGCCAGATGCATTCTAACATCCATTTACAACCACGAACGCCAATGGAGCATAAAATTCGATGAATTGAGATGGCTAAACGTGTAATTCTGAAATATTACTGGTTGTATAAATTTACTTACGGACTATACATTATTTCTGTAACATATTGATGAAAATGAATCTACAAATACCACGGATTGCATCCATTGCTTTCATTGTATAAATTTATTGTCGAGTTGAGATAATTGTAAGATGAATGAAACAGAGCACAAAAAATTTAAATAATTTTTTGATCAAGTAATAAGAGCAAAAATGAAGTATGCAGTAAAATTATGATTAAATAATTGAAAAACTTGTGATTTCCTACCAGTATTCAAAAAGAAGAAGAAAGACTAATGGAAAATAACATGAGAATGAATGGAATACGGTCAATGAATTTATAATTAAAATAAACACCTGACAGAAGATAGACAAATTATTAAAGTTGAAGATGAATTTTAATTTTGAATAAAATAAATCACTTTTAACCTAAATTGTTAGTGATTCATTTGTTAATATAATTTTTCATAAAAATCATCTTCATGATTAAATAAAAAAACTAAATATTTAGTTAACTACGTATTTGTAAAAGAAAAATAGTCTGGAAATGTTATTTTTAAAAAGAAAGTTATACATTGCATGACAACTGTGAATTTGTAAAATGGCTCAATAAAAGTAGAAAACTGGGTCATTATCATACAATCATTTCATTTATGTTCAATTCAAATCTATTATGCCACAAATAATAAAAATAATTTACTGGAATTTTTCCAAGCAAATAAAAATAAAAAGAATCACAAAAATAAAAGTCCATTAGAAACAGTTTCATATCAGCTTTTGTTAGAGATTCCAAATATTTCTTGTCTTATCAAAATGACTTACGAATGAAGTGCTTTGTATAACCCAGAATCGCACGTCTACTGTAGCATAAAGTATGTACATGGAATACACGTTGAGCAAGTTCAACAGCGGTCTCACAAGCTTATCAGAAGCACCAGAACGTAAAAGCGATAGTGTTATCCATTTCTACAAGTACACATATACGTATACACGATACATTCTATCTTCTATATAGAGTGCAAATAGGCAAACCGTATGTAATTTCTTCATCTCCATAATTGACCATTTGCTGCTTCAATTTTCCATTCCAAGCTCACGATTTGATTTATTAGGCCAAAGAAGACGGCAAATCTCTTTTTAATCTTATAACTCCGTATGTAACTAGGCATAGTGTTTGTTACTTATATCTAACATTTATGGACATATTGAGATTAAATTCTAACAAGTTCTTGACTGTAGTTATTATAAAGTGTCAGGTATCAACTTTCCCTATCTCTTGATGTTAAGTGTCGACAAACTATTTTCTCAAGTTTTCACACTAATTTATATGTTTTTTACTATTATTATGATAAATGAAGTAGGTTACTAAACATTCATTTGTTTCTCATTATGAGACTAATCATCATTGAGTGCCATACTTAATTAGTTCATAATACCTGAAATACACGTGTGAGAAACGAAAAAAAACTCATAACAGAAATTTTTTATGAAAAACTTAATTTAATAAAAAAAATTGAATTATTTAAATAGTTTTTCTTGTATGTAAAATATTCTTCACAGTAAAAATGAAGATGCATGGATGCTAAAGAATGATGAAGAATGTCATAAATATTGGAGTAATTGAAGAAGAGGTATTTCAAAGAATTTAAATGGTATATAATTTAGTTCAGTTTAATTATTGAATTAATTCATATTATGCTGGCTTATTAATTAAAAAGACTTGACGCAATGTAGATGTGGATCAAACAGGTTTAAAAATATTTTTGCCATGAATAATGATGAATGTACCATGAAATAAATTAAAAATATTCTCGACGACTTAAATATTGTTTCTTTAGTAGAATAAAAACAAAAAAATTGGTGTATATGTTTAGTAACGAAGTAAAATTACAGGTATCATGGGTAGTGTAGTAAACAAGTGAATTATACATTTCAATAGATGAGCAAAAAAGAGAAGAGAGGGGGATGACATGACGATAAGAAAAATTTTAAACCGGTTCTCACGCATCTTACAATCTCTCACGAAGTTTCAGGACGAATAATGACGATTTACTGAATC